TCTCATCATCTGTACTACATACTAAGCTTGTTCTTTCTCCCAGAAACTCTCACATTCTGTACTACATACTAAGCTTGTTCTTTCTCCCAGAAACTCCCAAATTCTGTACTGCATACTAAGCTTGTTCTCTCTCCCAGAAACTCCCACATTCTTTACTACATACTAAGCTTGTTCCCTCTCCCAGAAACTCCCACATTCTGTACTACATACTAAGTTTGTTCCCTCTCCCAGCAACTCCCACATTCTGTACTACATACTAAGCTTGTTCCCTCTCCCAGAAACTCCCACATTCTGTACTACATACTAAGCGTGTTCCCTATTCGGGGGTATTTATATATATATAGATACAGGAGAATATGGTAGTGCATATACCATACTAATGATAGTCTATAAAGAGACATAAATAATGTTGATATAAACGTAATGTACGTATGTGATTAACTCTGTAAACAGACCTTATACAATTATTAAAAAATGAGAAAAAAAAATTTTTGGGGGTTTTGATGAGAATTGATTAGTAGCTCTTTTGATCCCAAGGTACAAAAAAACACAAACTATATGCTTAGTTGTTGGATGGCTATGCCCGGCATGAGAATCATTCATAGTGTATTACAGATAGAACACCAAAGTCAACTTTTGTCATCATTCACAAAATGAACCTTCATAATTATTGGTATTTGTTTTTGAAACTTTTTACCAATGGTAAATTATGTCTATTTAGTTCAAAACTAAAAAAAATATTATTAATACAACAATTTGCAAACCAAATTGTGGCATTCAAATAGATAAATGGCCAAGTGGCAGCCATCTTCTTTTTTCTAAGTGCCCTGGCTTCTTTCTCACTCTAATAGTCAATATAAGGGCAAGACAGAATAATTTGCAGCTGCACATCAATTTAATAATAATCCTTTCCCTTTTACATCCTAAACTTTAAATTTTGAAACAAAACGTAACATGGACTAACATGTTTTTAATAAAATGTTGAAAGAGTGTTAACTTCATTGTGTATATGTAATTAATATTTCAGACTATACTATACACTCTATAAACTATAGATCATACTATACAAATTAGTTAACACGCTTATGTATTGATAGATTATTGTAGACTAGACTTTTAGATTAATTTGATTTCTGTTCATATGTAAGCACAGAGTAATGTATATATGATGTAACACCATTGTTGTAACTGAATGGCTTTGCAAACTAGTTTATCAGTTTAATTTGTATTAGTTTATAGGGGTAAAATATTGTATGTGTTAAATTATGTTAAATCTAAAACATGGTTGAAATATGTTAAACATTGACTATGGTAGATTAATGCAAATAGTTTCCATTTGTTCTTCAATGTTTTGTAATGTATCCTATAATATTTATTCAAGGTTTTATAATATCCTAATGAGTGAGCATTAACAGTTTATGAACA